GTCACAGAGAAACAGGAACTAAAGTCACTAAATACTGTTGTTATTGAAGAAAGTGCTACACGTGAAAATACCCCTAATACTGATAAGAGAAAAGAGCCTCCCCCTGTCCCTAAGAGAACCTTTACCAAATCTGATATTCAGCAATCACTCGATAACCCTGAGAGGCTCACTAACGGCGACTTAGACAGCTCCAAAACAGATGCAAAATCAAAGAGTAAAAAGGAAACATCTCAGAAACAGGGAAAGCTCAAGCATGTCTTTTCAGCCAGACAAAACAACTACATCAAAAATCAAAGGTATGCTATAGCAGATAACGGCAAAGAGTCTGAGGAAAGTGACAGAAAAGCGAGCGAAAGAGTAGAAAGCGATGAGTTAGAGGTTACCGCGGAAACAAGAGACAGCGACAACATCATCAGCGATTTAAACGCGTTGAAAGAATTAGAAAGAGCAAGACTAGCGGAGCGGATTTACGACAACGCGAAGAACAAATTTGGGGTGGTTGACATCGTGGAGCAGACGAAGGCCAGGAATGATTTGATTTCGAGGGAACTTCGGAATATTAAGAAAGGAATGCTGTCTATGAGGGGTAATACGATGGCTAAAAGAGATCTGTTTTTGAAGAAAGAAAATGAGCAAAGCAAAGGAGAGGCTTATTCAAAGTTAGACGGTAATGTTATTGTAAACAAGGCTCTTATAAATGACAATTACGATAAAGCTAAAATGGCGCTGGAGGAGATTATTTTTGAGAGGGAAAAGCGGAAAAATCTGCCAGGACAGGAAGAGTCTGAACAAGGGGTAGAAGACGACGGTAACGTAAAGTTTCAGAAACCTAAAACTACAAGCGATGCCGAGGTGAAATCCAATGGACTTAGCGCAACCGAGCTAAAGGAAAGGTTAACCGAGCTAAAAGATCACAACAACATGAGGCAAATTCTATCGCAAACTGAGCCTCGACCGGGGGAGACTCACAGAGCAGGGAGCAGGATAGCTTTACCGGGCATGGACAAAATGAGCGATGAACTCGGCGCGATAGTCAAATCCAAAAGCGAGAAAATGGAGAAGCTCATTAGCAATTATCTTACTGCCAGTTCAAACGTCGAGGATTCTGAAGAAACGACTGCAAATATCGTAGATGAAAACGCAGACAAAAAACTCGACACGCCTCCTATTCCTCCAAGAAGCAGAAAAGGAAGTATTAGAAGAGACAGTGTATCAGAGTTAAGTTTAAAGAGCGCGATAGGTGATTTGAACAAGATCGAAAAAGGTGAAAAGGAAGAGTTAAGTTTGACTCCCAATTTAAACATATCAGAAAAACAAAATGTATTTGAGACTGAACCATCATCTAGCTTGGATAATTCAAAACATATTACTTCAAAATCAGCGTTAGATCCAAGTAATAGCCTTTCAATAAAACCCCCTGAAAATGAGATGAAATCAGGTTTATCTCAAGATGCTGCTCTTGAAAACAAAAAGCAAGCGAGCCCTCTAGCTGAAATCATCCCTGAGAGAAAACCCCAGCCCACAGGAACAGGAAAGGTCAAACGCAGGGCCCCCTTAAGACCGGATCACCTGAGCATTTCTAACAGCAAAGATTCGGTTTCAGATCAGCCTGAAAAGACATTTACTAGTAAAGAAGATCCAAAACCAGAGTCAGAAATGGTAGTAGAATCCCCACAAATGTTAACTTCCCCCTTGCTTCTTGTTAATGGTGTTAGTATTTGTCAGAGTCCTCCAGATCAGGCTAGTTTATCATCCAAATCGTCCTATTTCTCAGCTGAAAGTACCCTCCATAGAAATACTGAGACCGAGTCTAATGTTTACCACTCTCTGGAAAACCTGAGTGGAGAGGTGGAGGAGGTTCATGAGGCAGGATCAGGCCCCCTAAACAAAACAAGGCATAACTTCAGACAGGACAGATGGTGAATATTACTCATTCAGTGATCATGAAAGTGAACCTGAACCGTTGAAGAGGCAGATCACATCACCTCCAAAAGAACCTGTCATACCGAGCAAGGAGACTGGAGCCAAATCTGCCAAAGAAAATATTGTCAAAGAGGATGAAACGAATTCATCAGCTTCATCAAACCCTGTTTCACCAACTTTTACGATCCCTGCACTGTTTAAGGTGAAGGATAATACATTCACTAATAAGGTGAAAAAGTCAACACAGCCCTGGTCACCAAGGGGAAGTCTGGCCGGTATAGAAGCTTTAGTGTTAGAAAATAAGTATCCACAAGCACTAAAAAGTCAAGAAGAACATGTGCTTGTTGCTGCTATGTTACCAGAAAATAATATTGAAGTTGAAGAAGTTTTACCATCGCCTCCTCAGCTCCTTCTGCCCACAAGTCCCCCAAGTCCTCCAAGTCTCCCAAGTCCCCCAAGTGAAATACTCAGGGTTCAAGATGACTCCTTCCTGAGGGTCCCACAGCAAGATGACAGACACTCAGGGTTGAGTTCAGGGGTGAGTTCTGGGGTGAGTCCTCTGTCAGAGGGGGTGGAGAGCACAGCGGGCAGTGCATTAGAGACTGCAGATGAGACAAGTGCGGCCAGTGGACTCGAATGTGAGGTCTCCAAAGTCCCCAGTGAACGATCCGGTTCTACCTGCAGTGGAAATGACAGTCAAACAGGTCTGCCCAAACCTCCTGCTGTCCTGCCCAAATCAGAGAAGGCTGTTCTCAGAGCCATCAAGTTAACTAACAGAAGAATGAAGAAGGAGGAGGCCCATAAATCAGCTCAGAAATCCTCCCACAGCAGCAGCTCTAAGCACAAGTCCGACAGGCACAAGAGTGACAAGTCTGAGCACAAAAGTAGCAGCAGCAGCAGCAGCAGAAAACACAAAGAAAAGACACATTCTACTCATCCTAATGCGGAAGAGACATCAACTCACTCCAGTCACAACCCTAATGACATAAAGCCAGACACTCACAGCCACAATGTGGATTCAGGTGAAAGCTCAGAGAAGAAGACTGAAGCAGCCCTCCCCAGTGAGCGGCAGGGGCGCAGCACTGACAGACGACTCCGTGAGAAGCCAGAACAACGGCACTACAGCAGTGACCGGGTCATCAGCAATGTGCCTGTGTACAAGACTTATGTAGGAGACAGGGCCCGCTCTAACAGAGTCCTGCAGCGCTCTATGAGCACCGACAGGTACATGGAGACTAAAGCAGAGCGCAGGCTCAGTGCTGATATCTCAAACAATGACAGACTTGACCCGAGAAGCCAAAGAATTGAGAAATCTATTATGGATGAGCTACAGCAGAGAGGCAGACAGAAGGAGAAACAGATAAAGGAAAGCCCACTGAGAAGGAGCCACAGTATTGATGCACAGAGTTCAAATGTACTGCACCCCGCTAACCTGTCCCGTCAGTCCAGCCTCACCAGCCAGCTCTCACGCCAGTCCAGCATGGAGCACACCATCGTGGCCCCATCCTTCCCAATGACTCAGAGGAAGCTCCTCCAGGATCCAGACTCAGGCCAATACTTTTTTGTGGACATGCCGGTACAAGTTAAAACCAAGACCTTCTTTGATCCAGAAACAGGGACATATGTGCAGCTCCCTGTCCAGCCTCCAGAGGGGGCCGTACCACAGCCCTCGCCAATGGAGGTTTTGAGCCCTCCTCTAGTGGTCTACCACAGCTTTGTCCCGGTGTCTCTGTCTCCCATGGCTCAGACAGCCCCTGTCCCACTTCCTCATGTAGAGCACGAGGAATATGAGCCTCGACATCCGGACCTGGTGACAAGGCACGCTGAAGCTCACTCATACTTAGAGCCTGTGTTTGGGCCGCACGAGCACGTGTTGGGAGAATTCTTAGGGACTGAGGAGCTGGACTGTCCGAGTTAAAAGGGAAATTGCTTTCATTCATTTTGTATATTACAAATATTACTATTTCATTATGTTTTTTGTGCACTCAACTTAAACCTGCCTTACCTTGTTTTATACTTCACATCACTGTTGCAGAAGTGAGAAGTGTGAAGTGTGACGGTTGATTTGATTTTTAAGTTACAAATAAGTAAGACTGCTTTGCTTGCTTTAACGGTCGCACTGGTTTTGTGAGATCTCCAATTCGTTGACCTTTTTATTCTAAGTGTCAGATGTTGGAGGAGATATTTGTGTAAGATAATGTGGGGGACATGGAGACTCCATGTACATATGTAAACAGAAGGAAAGGCTTATCTGTAAATGTGAGTATTTATTTATGTTGAATGTGTATATGCCACTCCAGTGGTAGTGTGGGTGAACTCCACCTCTTTCAGGTATTGTCTTTGACACTTTTCTTATCTGCAAGGTTTAATGCCTTGTCTTTCTGTTTTTTTGTTTTTTTTCTTTTTTCTTTCACAAGACAGGCTGTTTTGATAAATATACTGGATGAACTTGACAACAGTGTTTAGGGAAATTTCACCTTTGGAAGACATTTGAAAATGTTTTGCATGCTTGAGATAAACGACGGCTAAATTTAAATTTTTTTTACAATTTTAAATATACTTTTAGTTCATACCAAGTAAAAGCTTTTAATGGGACTTTGCAATATTTGTTATTAAGAAATATGAAATGAGAATATCTTTTGCGGATTTATTGCATTTTAAGTAGAATAACGCAGGGCTGTTTTGTGTCTGTGATCCATTCCAATAAAAACAACAACTGTTGTTACAGAATACTGTTGTCTTTGTGATTTTATTGCACCAAAACCTTTATGCCACATGATCAAATCCAGAACATAATCGTAATAATATTTCACAAATACAATTTTCCTGTTTTTCTCAGTATTGCAGATTCTGTTGATATATTATTTACAATAGCAGGACATAAACTCATTTTAGGGTTAGGTTACTTGCATTAAAAACAATGTCCCATGATGAATAAATTATTGATGGAATAGTGTTGTTGTTTGTTTTTTTTAATTTTCTTATAAATATACAATATTTACATTTTCCAGTCTTCATCCCCTTAGCCCTAATAGTCCCAGAGTCAAAGTGCAGGACATGCCCTTGTTTGTGAACAGTCAGTGACAGCCACAGCTCAGGGCCACCATGTCGTCATACTGCTTTAACACCACATTCTCCTCGTCATCAAAGTACAGCAAACTGATGGACTGCAACTTGTCCGGTACACAGCAGGGGGCGCCCACTTCATCATTGGACAGCTTCAAGGCATGCATGATGGATCTCACTGTGGCATGGTTTGTGGCCCGAAGGCTGCCCCCTAGTGGAAAGGGACATGAACCTCTGCAGTGGTAGGCGTTGTACCCTCTGGGAGAGATGATCCACCCCGACCAGCCAATCTCCTCGAAGTCCACGAAGAGAGGGACACGCTGGCAGGTGTGGGCGGGGCTGTTGGACATGTGGGCGGGAGCAGCTCGACGATGCCTGTTGCCATGTTGTTCTGAAACTGGACTGTGAGCTTTAGCCTGATCTGTAAAGAGGAGGAATATTCATAATAAGTACAAATGAAATGGAAAACTAAATTATAGATTTTCTCCTACACTTACAAAAAAAATTGCATCTTCATCTCCTTCATCCACATCTTACCTAAGTATGACTTGTTGGTGGCCTTGCCAGTGCTCTCATCAGAGAATATGACCAGATATGCGTTGGTCTCATCCCCTTCAGCGTTGTGTCTGGGAACCACAGATGTATCCATCCAGTCTCCAGAAGGGAAGGTGGTCACCATCAGGATGCCGTTGTTCTCCTCACTGTTGTGGATCCATTTGGACACCTGTCGTTTAGAGGAAAAAAATAAAAGTTAGAAAACTATGACCCAACACACCCAAGTTCATATTGAGCATGATGAAAAAGACAGAGCAGTGACGTACCACTTGAGTAACATTGAAGATTTCCCAGCCCTGAGTGTAGAGGGGCACCAGTCTGGTGGTGATGAGGTTTCCCCTCCATGGTTTCACTCTGCTGTCGAGCACCTCATACAGATCCACCTGAGCAGGGAACACATCAGAGCTTTATTATAAAGTGGCTACAACATGGTTTAATCATCTGTTTGTGCCTGTATTGTGAGATTATGTTTTAAAAATTAAAATAGTATTGTTACCTTATAGAAATGAGGTCCATATGCCTTTCCCATAAAAAACTTCTGCTTCTTTCTAAACCAGCGGAATTCAGCCTTATTCATCCTCTCATCTTGGCTAAAAGACGAGAGATTGAAGAAATGGAACCTCTCACCCGCATGACCTGTGAAAAAAAGAAAAAAAAAACATATAACATCACTTATAATTATGTAAAATATGCAGCTGTTAGTCTAAACTATCGTAATGGCTTTCTTAAATCATTATATTTCTATTCAGTTTCATTTAGCTCCAATTTGCTTGTAAAATAACGTGTATTACTCGTGCGTAATTGTTTACTTGTGCGTACTAACGCACGATCTTAAATTTGTTGTACTGGCAAATGTATGACACTTTAAACAATATTTACACTACTCACCTTTATCCTCAAAACTACGAACGATATTTCCATCCAGAATCTCGTTCTGGCTCCTGGGGATTCCATCCTCACGGGACACGGCGTTAAACAAATCCAACATGAACTGCGGCGCTTTTTTGTGCGGTGCCACGGCGGGACCCCGGGGTAAATCCTTCAGATACAGCAGCGCGTCCAGCGTGTCTCTGCCCTTGTTTGTCGTGCCCTCCCCGGCTCGTCTCCCTATCCCCCGCCTGCCATGTGGGAGAGCCATCGGCACTACAGTCCGGAGCTGGAGGGCGAGCAGCAGGCAGAGGCACAGAGCTCTTCCTGTCATATTGGTCGGAGTGGAGTGAGTGTGGTCGGTGCGCGGAGCGGCCAGTGATAAGGCGCGCGGGGGCCTTTGATGACAGCTCGGCCTGTATTCAGCTAACACGCAGATGATTGCCCGGTGATTGATGATGGCCCAATGCCCACACAATAGGAGGTGCAAACGAGCCGAGACTCTCCAACATACAGCCAAATAAACGAGTCATTTCCCGGGGAAGGTCGGCTGTGTCCATGTTTCACTAAGTTACACTAATAATATAATAATAATAATAATAATAATACTGGCAGTTATTAATTACATACACTATAATTCGGAGTAAGAAAGACCTGACCCAATAGTTTACCAAGTTTGTTCTGTAATCGAATTCTAATAATATTAATATAACAAAAAATAATTAACCAAACTACTATTAATAATACGATTTTTTACGTTTCTTGTTTTATATTATATATTGCTCTAGATGTTGACTTACCCCATTTACATTTTTATTGCCTAACCTACATGTGAAAACTACTTATGGTATTATGGTAGTTACTATTCATTTTTTATTTTTTTTTTTACAATTTTTTTGTTTTGCACTTGAAGTATTTTTTCTGCTCTAGAGCGTCTTCTTGAGAAGTGGTTTGTTAATAGCACTTAGCACACTGATGCTGTTTATTTTTGTGACGCACTTTGCCACAGTGCCTTGTATGGCCGTTTATTCGTAATGCCATAACATTTATAGAAGTTATTATTTTAATCAACAGTTATATTTAGTTTATAATATGAATGAAAATGTGAAAGGGCTGTTGTCTTTTAAAATTTGACGTTAAAACTGTCATATTTTAATGTCAGTATTTAGTCTATAATATGATTTTTTGTGTGCGTGTGTGTGAAATGTCTTGCTGTATCCATTTCTATATGATCCCCGTGGGCCATAACCAAACAATGTCCACTCCACTCCCACGCGTTAGAATCCCTCTCCTCTCGCGTGTCATAATGATGTTTAGCCCGTGGGTCCACATCTTTTCGCACGTCCCTGTTATCAGCCCGAGCCCAGCGACCGAGAGCAAACGAAAAGCCCGGGCCGTGACGCAAATGCACCGCCAGCACCGTGAACGCAGCGGTCACGGAGTCCCCAGCCCCTCCTCCCTCCCCCGGGCCCCCGTGTTTGCGCAGTGACTCACGGTTAACACCAAAATCCATCTTACACGTTTATTCGCGCGTTCACACAATCCGAGATGATCCCCCTAATTAATCACGTGGCACAAAGGGGATCACATTCTCGAGCTCGTTACGCTGATCAATAGCCCCACTCTGCGTCCATATTGTTAATCAAATTTACGGCCATTACGCACGAACGATGATCCCCTCATTTCGCTCAGCTCACGGTTAGAGGGTGACACTTCAGCTTATGTTACGGACACAAACGTACTCACAGGCAGAACACTGATTGGATTTGATGAAACAAAGTCCTAACGATAAAAAGGCGACATCGTTTTCTTCTAATCCGGACAGATATTATGTGATTAGGACATTAAACAGAAAGTCAAATAAACCCAAGTTGCATGCTGACTTCGGTGAGCCAAGTTTCCTTCTGACGTGTCTACAGTACTGTAATGGCTTCATATTGTGTCCACGCGTGGCACAGGTGCGGGGTGTCCTCAAATGTTTACTCCGAGCATGTGCGCATCACAGATACAGTTTAAGGGAAGCCCCGTTAGTGACGTAATCGACGCACTTTATAGCTCAGTAATCGCACAGCATGAGCTTTCATATGGATAAGACGTGTTAAAGTAAAACATGTCGAGACATATGCGTAACTGTCAGTTTTGAGTCCAGTGTTATGAAATATTGTCGGGATTAGTCAGGCATTCAGAGCATTTCTATATTAAAGCTGCACTATGTAACTTTTCTGGTGAAGCGGTTGGGTCCTCGTATTATTCCTTCTTTTGAATTTCAATTAAGAACAGCAGGGCCTGGGTAGTACTTGGATGGGAGACTACTGAGAATTCCAGGTGCCACAGTGGGGCGCTATTGGCAAAAACTGTTGGTGTGTCCTTAGGCAAGACACACTCACATTGCTTAGTATGAAAGTGGTGTGTTCATGAGTGTTGGTGGTGGTAGGAGGGGCCGATGGCACAGATTGGCAGCCTCGCTTAAAAGGATAGTTTGGGTTTTTTGACATGAATCTGTATGGCATCCCTGTGAGCAATGTCGTGCATCCACACTGACTTTACCCCCGACAGCGTCCGGTGAGCCGAGATACTGGCCGTTTTCGGTGCTGACGAAAGTAGTCCGGCAAGTTGGCTGGGGACAGTAAAATAAAGTGTTTTTCTTCTCAAAACATGTGTTCAAAAGAGTGATACATTTGCATCACAAAACCTTCATCCTCAAGAAAGTCAGACCTTATAATCGCTTGGCACTATTTTCTCTCCGTTCGTATCACTGCACGCTGCTGCCAGGTGACAGCCGCACACAGATCCATCACTTTCTTCAGTTGTTCGGCAGTGTTTACATGCGCAGACTGCCGCAACGTGAGAGAGCTAATGTGAGAGTTAGAGCGATAAGTATATAAGCTTTTATAAGATACATAAGAATGTCCCCTTGGCTTTGTGGTAAAGGCAATGTCTTCATCGTCGGTGTCGCAATCAGACATGTTGTCACTAACATTCCAAGTAGTAAACAAAGTGAACCAGGCGTGGCTGGCACCTGTGGGTAGCGCGCAGTGATACGAACAGAAAGAAAATTGTGCCAAGCGATTATAAGGTCTGACTTTCTTGAGGACGAAGGTTTTGTGATGCAAATATATCACTCTTTTGAACACATATTTTTTTGAGAAGAAAAACGCTTTATTTTACTGTCCCCAGCCAACTTGCCGGACTACTTTCGTCAGCACCGAAAACGGCCAGAGTCTCGTCTCACCGGACGCTGTCGGGGGTAAAGTCAGTGTGGATGCACAACACTGCTCACGGGGATGCCATACAGATTCATGTCAAAAAACCCGAACTATCCCTTTAAGTCAATCTGCCCCAGGGCAGCTGTGGCTACAGTAGTAGCTTACCACCACTGAGTATTGAGTGAATGAATAATGAACTGTAAAGCGCTTTGGGTGTCTTGAAAGGCCCTATGTAAATGCAGTGATTAATAGAATGAAAAACAACACAATAGGAAAACAGTGTGTTATTTCATTATTCCGTTTCAGTGTCAAGCAGGAAAAAAATATTTTGACCTCTATTTCCAATATTTACTTCAAAGTTTATTTCAAATAACACAAATCAAAAAGACAGTCTCAATTTCAGTTTTCATATTTTATTCTCTTTATATGACCCAGAGGTTTTGCTGCGTGAAGAAGTTATCTGAAAAATCATTGCAGTTTTGTGGACAAACATGTCGTCTTCTTTTATAGTGATGTGTTTACTTACTTACTGTAATTGTTGAACTCCATGACATGAAACAAGTAGCAGTGAGACGATAAACTCCTTTGCTCCTTTGATTTCACTCACAGTACACTGACCAGCACAACTTCGAGGTCAAACAAACAAGAGAGAATAAATTATCAAAATTAAAATAGGCACTGAGACTGTTTTTTGATTGGTGTTATTTGAAATAACTTTTAATTAATTACTGAAAATAGAAAATCAGTTGTTTTTGTTTGAGACTAAAACAGAATAATGAAACAACAGACTATATTCTCATTTATTGTTTTTCATTTTTAATTGAAATTCAAAAGAACGAATGATACATGGACCGGGCTGCCACCTGTTTGTCTCTGTGGAGATGTCATTGGTTTGCTTGGAATGTGCATTAAACTTACTTACCCATCTCCAAGACAACCAAGTGACGTCACCAGTCTTTACAGGCAGGGGCGGACTGGCAATCTGTATGTTCTGGAAAAGTCCCCATACAACAGAAACAGGTTTAATGCCATACAGAGGAACATTTCAGATACAGCAATATCGTCTCCATGGACACAAGCTGAAAAGTTGCATAGTGCACCTGTAAGTGTTGTGGAAATACTTAAAGATAACATGCCAAATAATTAGTTGATGTTTGTTTGTTAAAATCTGGTGCAGGGTCTGTCATTTGTCATGGAGACATTTTTGCTTTGCCAGGAATTTTGCATTAAACTAATATATTGTGCTTTTTAAATGATAGTTTTTATAGACATTTTACTATAAGCAGGACAACTTTAATGCCATACTGTGAAACATTTCAGGTAAAGCAGGTTAAACAAGGCAAACATGTGATGGACGCTCTACCAGAAAAGTTATAGCTATAGTCTGTCATCATGACTGTAGCTATAAATGTTGCATATTTCAATACTGCTATAACTTACAATACTTATAATACAAACATATACATTGAGAGAAGTTTGTAATATAAGGTGAATGATATACCAGGACCCAGAAGTGACAAAAAAAAAAAAATCTATACTAATATGATAAGGCAAAAATGATTTTAAAAAAGCTATTAACAGATTGAAGCTTAAAGGTGCACTATGTAACTTTTCTGGTCCAGGGTCCGCCACCTGCTTTGATTCTATGGTGATATTATATTGCTTTGATTTTCTCACAATATGGCATCACACGCGTGTATTTTCATGGAGACCAGCCGGTGACATCACTAGGCCAAGTTACAGGTCAGATCTAGGAAGAGGCGACACCACTTTCAATAAGAAAACTAATTTTGAAATCTATTTGAGCAATAAAATAGTCATCATTTAATAAATGTAGTATAAATGTAATGCCAGATTATTGAACCTGCCAGGTAAAGCAATAACATCTCCATGTGTGGACGCCCATCACAAAAGTGAAGCTTTTTAACTTTGTAACTTTTCTGTGGGGGTCTTTTAACTCTTTGTCACTATGGAGATGTTACTGCTTTGTCGTTCAACAGAATGGCATCAAACTTATCATCATTGGAGACAAGTTACAGATCAGATCTGTGTAGTGACAGCCCCACTCACAATATGAATACATGTTTTTCAAGATGTTTTTGACAATAAAAACACCTTTAATGGAATAAAATGGATAAATCATTTCAATGCCATACTTTGGAGCATTTCAGGTAAAGCTTCATGGAGACAAGGAGTTGAGTGGACCTCAAGTGTAATTTTAAGTTTTAGATTACCTCAATTTTTTTTTTACAACTCAATTAGTCAATTTAAAGACAAGTTTCTATTAAACTCTGGTAATTTTTGAACTTTTAATATAGGTAATATTGTATGTCCTAACCCCTCCTCACCTGCTCGCTCCTGACACTGAGCTCAATAGACTTTAACGACTCTATCAGGGGGCCGTTAGGGGCCATTGAGAGAGAGTTTAATGACACCCATAATTCATATTCATAACCTATAGACCATGTGAGAGTTATGTTTTAGGTCTTGATTGCTTTAGTGAAACTAACACTTACATTTACATAAATATATTAGGAATTCAATAGGTGGAATTAAATAATGGAAACAGATAGCTCTTAGGCTGGTACTAACACATAATGATACTTGAGTACTTTCCAAAAAAAATGTTATTACTTCAAGATATACATGCCCATTAATAGTAATGATTTTGTAAGTTTAAAGCAGACCTCTTATGTAAAATCCACTGTTAGAGCTTTTAACCATAGTTGTAGTTGTTTCCTCTTGTCATTTACCCTCTCCAAGTTGTATTTGGAGTGATTTGTGCATGTTTGCATAATCTTTAATCTTATTTTCAAGACGCCATATTGACCATCAACTCCTGTTTTCACTGCCACTGGCATATGCCCACTGCTCTGTACTTACAGTGTATCAGTGATACATGAAGGATTCTGCAGTGTCATGGAGTCATTTTGATACAGATAAAAATAAAAAAAAATCCTCATTTGCATGATCTGCAGCTATTCATAAAAATGCAGACTCTTTGCAGGTTTCTAACATGGATAGCGGACTTGTGTCTTATATTAAGTCGTTTTAGATGAATATTGCGATTTTAAATGTCCAAATTATAACATAATGTTTCTCAGATGTCATAGATTCTAAGTATATAGTATGACACCAGCACAATATGTGTTCTTTAAAAAGCTTTAACTGGAAAAAATGGCTAGAGGCCAGTAAACATTTGTCAGGACATGGCACTAATGGGATGAGCGTTAGCTCCATGTGTATTAGCCACAAAGGTGTGAATTCAACTGTAAATGACTTTCAGTTAGAGGGATTAACATAGGCC